GGTACCTGGAGGGTTAGGGGAAAGCTGTGATGAATCATCTGTTATGGATGGTTGTGGTTGCGGTGGTCCGTGACGGTGCTGCGTTTGTCGACAGCGCGCAGTGGCCAGACTAATCATCGTTGGACAGGGCGTGGGATTTATGGTAGTGCTCATGGCTCCTTGATGGCAGTCTTCGGAAATGGGAAATAGAGCGTGGCAGTGAGTTCTGTAGCTGCATTCCAGAGCAAACAAACATTCCAAGAGTATGAGTCCGATTTACTCTTGGAAAAGTGCTCACCTAGTGAGCACTTCTATTATTAGCATTGGACAAAAGATCCTTCACCGGTTTCGCAATGCTTCCTAGTCAATGGCAGAGAGAGAGAGAGTTGCCACGAGGTTTACGCGGTTGCTGTTGCCTGCTTCTACTGCCTGTTCAGCTCCTTCATCACATGCGTCTCCTGGTTCGTCATGATCTTTCTTGCCCAAGCCTCCTGGATGCAAGGTGGTGCTTCCCAAAAGCAAGACCACTAGAAGCATGTATTGAAAGCCATGTAATTGTGGCGTTGTGTCGATTCGTGGGCACTTCTTGTTGGGTCGAGAACCTTTGAGGGTTTCTTATAAAATTGTAGTCATTTTGGGGACATCAGTTAAAACAGGCGTTTGAGTTAACACCTTACTCCGAGGTCGAGCTTGCTGTGCTGAGTAGAAGCACGAGCATCAACCATCACAGTGATGAGAACCACGCTCCAGGACTCTAGGTAGTAGTAAATCCGGCCGCGAAGCGCCCAAGCAACTTCTTCAGACTCCACATTTTGCTTTTCTGCATTTCGTATGACATGTAGCCGTAGGCAAGCAGACTTGGAGAGTCTCGGAATCCCGGAACGGGCTTGATTATGCATCAGAGGGGCTAGGCTTCTCCTGATTTTAAAGTCTTGTGAGCCGCATGACTGTCGTAGTTGGACGGTACCACGTAAATTCAGCTCCAGCGGTAACAGCCACCAGGTTTGGTATTTCGCTGGTCCCAAATTTTCCACTCGGCGGTGTCCTGTGCCAAGAGCTTTATGGATCTGCCTGCGTGCGGGGCCTAGTCGTCTTTCGACGCTCTTTGCGCATTCAGACACACATTCCCAGGCCGAAAAGATCAGTGCCATGCCAGTCATGCACAGACGAGAGTTCCTCGCTGCCGATTGACCAACCAGGTTACCATTTTGGCACCATGGTTCTTTCAGGAGCCTTGGCTTTCATGTGCCGGGAGGGTACAGCCGGTTGCATTGAGATTCTCCGCAAACTTGCAACCGAGTGCAGCTCCATGCAAGAGAAGGCTGTCCCCGTCTCTTGCTCTCAACCCTGTCTGTCACAGATGTTTCTCAGAACAAGCGTGAGGACGTCCAAATCTGGCCGGGTCTTGGAGTGGTAGTCATAGCCGTACAGGGACACGCACCCGGCTGCCAGCACACGGCTGTATCTGTTGTGAACACTTCTGGTCAGCAGCAGCCGCGTGAAGCCAGGCCCAGGCTATCGCTACCTTGCAACATCGTAGTAGCACGAAGAAGGATAAGAATACTAATCATAATAATCATGTAGCAGCCTTCATAATGCCAAAAGGGTTCCTTAAGGTTCCATATCTATCGTAACTAGAGTATAAGGTGCCCCAAAACCCTGTTCCAATTATTGAGGCTTCTTTATCAACTCACCCCCACGATCCTCAAATAGAATTGCTCGTCACACTAGACTATCTCGTGCTCGGAGACACGCTCTAGGTTTGTTTGCTTGCACACACTTGGCCCTACGTGTATTGTTAAAGTTGTGGCTTAGGTGGTCTAGAGCGCAGTCCTGCTGCTGAATATCATATGGGTGGTTGTCAAAATT